GGTTATTTTGGTATATATAATATTTTGCAAAGGATATTTTTGGTAAGAAGAAAAGTCAAAACTGCTTCTGCTTCTGCTTCTGCTTAAGGAGAGAGTCTACTTTTTTCTGCTTCTTCAAAACTGCTTTTGTTTCTAGTCAAAAGCACTTTTTTCAAAAAAAAAAAAAAACTTGGCCAAACACCTTAAGTTGAGGGGGAAAAAGTACTTTTGAAAAAGAAAAAAAAAAAAACTTTTGACCTTTAAAGAAGCTTGGCCAAATAGGCTATAAGTCAACTTCTCACAAAAATCAAAAGCAAGGAAAAAGAAAAGTTAATCCCTTTTCTCCAAACAAGCAGAATATACAAAGAGAAGTCCATAAAACCAACTTTAATAATAGTAAAAAGACAACATGTAAGGGAAAAAAAGGATTAGGAACTGAGGTAGAAAGACAATGAGATAATAGTATCTGTGCCTGCCCATAATGAAAGAGTCAAGATAATGCACAATATATGTGTGTGTGTGTGTGTGTGTGTGTGTGTGTGTACCCTGTGTGTGTACCCACACACAGAGGAGCATCAAAAGATCTAAAATAAACCAAATTACTAAAACACAACGTCAGGGAATGAGACACAAAGTGTGTGTAAGCCGTAAACAGTGAGCCCACAAGAATTATTGATATGATAAATTTTCATGTAGAGAGAAGGAACACCAGAGATACTACAAACAGAAAGAAAAATAGTTACTTGCTCTTGTGTTTTTTCAATCTTCAGAATTAGATCCAGAAAAATTAATTTTCTTTGGTATGTTTTTCATCGGAGGCAGAACAAATGAATATAATTCACCCTTAACCAGAGGTGCAGGGTTCAAGCCTTGGTCACAGGAAAAATCCTGGTCGGAAACATTTCCTTTTTAATAGGCTTAACACGGCGTGAATCCGAACTAGCCGGGCTCCAAATTGGATACCAGATAGCAAGTGGGAATCAAAAACAATATAGCATATACTCCAAGCAGAAGAAAAATGGGTATTACTATTTGTAGTTTTTCAATTTTCACCATTAGCAGATCCAGATAGATTATTACTTCAACAAATTTTTCATCAGAATGAGAACAACTAGAGATGCTAAAAGTAGAAAGATAAATTGTTCACTTTACACCAAAGCATATGAGTTGTAGTTCTCTAAAGAAAAAATACCAAGTTACATGAAGACTGCAAAAAGTACTAAACTGTGGACACAAACTAGGTGAAGAAAAAGAAAAACAAAAAGGTAAAATCAAGAACATGCATAACTTAAACAGATGATCAAGAAATTCAAAGAAAGGCTAAAATTATTCAATAAAACTAAGCATTGCATGCATTTTTAAATTGAAAAAAATAATAAACCATGAAAAAACCTGAGCCATGGGCTGAGAGGAGTAACAAGTGTACCCACAGCATCAACAAGAAGAGCTTTATGTGTAAGCCCACCATAAAAAGCCCATGTGTAATCTTCATACTCTTTCACTAGCCCAAATAGCCTCGATCATACCAGAGCTAACGCACCGGATCCATCAGAACTTCAAAGTCAAGCATGCTTGGGCGCGAATCGTACTTGGATGGGTGACCTCTTGGGAGTCCTCGTGTGGCATCCTCCATTACCGAAACTCTACTTGTTTTTATTTATTTGTTAACGGCAGATTATTTTGTTTAGATTGTTCTGATTCGTAGGTCTGCCGAAAAGAGATAAACTTGAGGACCCTAGTTAAATGATATCAAACTTGTCAAAAGAAAATTTAATACAAGCCAAAGGAGTCTGTCTACAAACTTCAAACTTATTGTTAACAGCAGTGGAATGGTTTCTTTTGAGAGGGGTGACGATTTTGGCACTTCGAGGCTTCTTGAATGGAAACAAAACGTCCCCTTCCAGGTTTCCTCGTCTCACCAAAGTTTTGGTTTCTATCTGCAGATCCTGCTCCAATGCTATCTGAGATATTCACCATATTGAATATTTTTGACAGCAGCTCCTTGGTGCTATATACATTAATATAAACTTACCATTCCTCAAAAAAGTTACCTTGCGAAAAAAGAAACAAGTTTATGCAGGTCAAGATTGTTGAAAAAAGAAACAAGTCTAGGCTACTGAATTCTTATAGTTAACCTAGATTTATGTCCAAACAGGAAGGAACTAAGCCTCTTCAAACTGTTTGAAATTCCATTGTCTGATTACATGCAAATGCAAAACAAGCCAGCAAATCATCATAACAACGACATTTTGACTCATGATGTGCCCTATAACTGAGATTAAGGACGATGTACCCTGTCAGTCCATTTCTCATGATGGACAGAATAAGTTGCATGATTGGTCTAGACTCTATGGAGAGAATTTACTGTAAAAGCTCTCAAATCTCTCATCCAGTTTTTCAATTGAAGAGTTTGATCATGTTGATATATTAGATAAATGATCTGTACAAAACAAGTGCATCCTCTAATAGTTCCTTCATGGAAAATAATCAGCCAGCCAATGCAAAATTACGGGGAAGGATAGATCAATCCTTTGCTTCCTTTGCTGCATAAGAACCACATGGGAGAAAATCAAATGGACTGAAATGCTTAGGGAATGCCATCAACCTTGTTGAAACACTGCTTAATCCTTTACATCAATACAACAAGAAGCTAAACAGGATTACGATTGAAGCAACAGTCAGAAATAGGCCACAAATCTTTACAGCAGCCTCAAATATACGATTGAAGATCTTCATCAATAGAACTAAACCAGAAACCGGACCAACACCAAGCTACATTTTTAATTGCCTTTGACGACAAAGCCTAAAAGCTGAAGACTAAAAACGGAAAGGAGAAGTTCAGTACAGAAATGAAGCTCATATCTGCATTGTTATGTAACATCTCGCTACTACACCTTAGCTCAAATCTCTCTATCGGCAATGTGGACCAGAAATGGCATGAAACTTTTCAAGGTGGTGTATCAGAAGTGTAATCTTCACTAATCCTCATCAGACATCTCAAATACTAGACTTCGAATAAGAGAAGCAGATTTGGGCAGCAGTCTCCTACAGTGAACACGAGAGAGACTTTTTGAGGCAGAAATAATACGACTTCCAATTTCAATCCTTTTAGACTTATTTACTGGGGCTCTGCTAACGCTTTCATTTGGAAGTGGAGCATCTGAGATTTGCAGAGGTGCTTTAGCTGGAAAAGGAGAAAGCAAAGAATGTTCTACATTAAGATCACGAAGATACGTTCGAGTCATTGTCTGTTCACCTTGTAAAGTACGAGCTCCTTCATGAGTATACCTTAAGCTTGAATTCACCTCATCATGAATTGAGAAATATTTCCTGATAATGCCCGAAACTGAAACTGCTTCTGATAAATCTTCACAATGGGACTCTGCTGCTGGACAAAAACTCTGTTCCTTGTCTCCCCTACCTTCACAACAATATGTGGGAAGAGCAAAGCTTGCCTTCGAAACAACTAGAGGCTCATCAGGTCCTTCTGGGCAGTTAAATTTATACCTTTTCCTAGCTTTGTTCCGTTTCTTCTTCTTCATCTTTGTCAAATGGGCTATTCTTAAAGCATCTAATAGTGCACTTTTAAGGCAGGCAAATCTTTTCATCTTCTTCATCTTTCTTCTGCATTTTAACTTTTCAAATTTTGTGCCGGTCATAGAAGTTTTACTTTTTGTGTTACCAGAAATAGTGCTAATAACATCATCATGCTGATGCAAAATTTGGTCATCGACATATTCAGATGAACCCAACTGATATAAAATGCCATATTGGCAAACTTCAACATGAAGCGACCTAATTCCCTTTAGATGCTGGAAAACATGCTTTAGAGGCAAAGTTTCAGGAAGGTGGTAAAAGCATGAGTTCCTCTTGACCTGCCAAAAAGTACAGTCTGATGAATCATTTAATTTGAGAAAACAAATTACGAGCAGCGAGACAGTATAGGATAGTTAACGAGTTTAAAAGAGCTTAGAAGCATACCATCACAGCATCCACCTTGATCTGCCCCAATTTTGGGAAACAATTCAAGTGAGCCCTTTCAAGTTCTCCTACAAATAGCAGTAAGACTTGTTCCAAAATCACAAGTACAAAACAAAACATTCTGTAAAACAAATCCTAAATCCAACAGAAAAAGGAAAGAATTCTCGATTCATGGTATTGTTACACACCTTTTAACTGCAAAAAGGAGTTAAGAATTTTCATGATATGAACTCTTCTAAGACAAGATTGAAGCAAGCTGTCTAGCAAATCACGTTGTTAATTAGGAAAATTCAATGAACATTTTCCCTTTTTTGCTTTTGTAATGAGATGCAGCTGATGCCACCAATATTCCTAGATAACGAAAACTTTCACAACTTAGAAATCTCTTTGTCGACTATATTCTTGGTTTGCTAAAGGGGTCCTTGGGTAAAATCAATCTCTATACTCCCGATGCAATAGACTCCCCATCCCCAAAGCCACTAAAACGCTCACTTCCCACCAAATTTATATAACAATGTTGTTGGGATTTCAAAAGCTTCCAGCTAGTCACCTTATTTCTTGGAAGGTGCTCCATCATTGCCACTATCGTTCTTTGAATCCAAGAAACAATATAGCGAAAAGATTGTCGTTCAGTATGTACATGATAGACTGAAGGTATCTGGATATTTTGTTAAGCAGTTAAGGTAAATTCAACATTTTTGTTATTTAAAATGAAAAAACAAAATCATCTATTACTGAAGGGTACTATAGTATCTTTCATCATTTTAAATACATTAAATCTCTTCCTTTTTATGAGGGTAGTATTCCGGCCAATTTGTATGCACCCCCACTATTTTACCAGGCATCTCATACCTCCCAGCACAAGTATGGATAAATCAGCCCACCTAGACTAATGCAAACGGGAAAAAATCACCAATTTGTTTTTTGTGTGCCTCCGATAGGATTTCAACAAAAATTAAGAGGGATGAATAGTACTCCACTATAGAATCAACAAAAACAAGAAAGAAACTAATTCAAGAAAAAGGGAAATTTGACAATTTGAGCTTGAAATGTATAGCATTAATTGAGCAAGACAAAAGAGAGTTCCAAAAACTCACTCTTGAAGTCATTAGCAGTAGTGTGGGGAGAAACAACGACAACAATGCGAGTGCCAAGATTGGTGTCAGCAAAAACCGGGAATTCAACACTTGAACAAGCCATTCGAAATAACCACTCATCAGTTCAAACTTCCGACCTCTTCACTTCAAAAATATAACGTTGCTAATATTGAAGACAGGAACTCTGTACTTTTTTTGAGGAATACGAGAAAGGGTAAGTGGTGGGCCCTCCTTTTTCTTTCTTTTATTCGGATTGGAGAAGTATCAAAACCCCTTAGCTAGGGCTGGTTATCGAACGGATTCAGCGGTTAATTACTCTTAACGGTTTGGCTTAACAGTTATCGGCTTTTAAATGTATTAATTCGCTAGCCACCCGATAAGATATCGGGCGGATTGGTATCAATTTAGCTCTTATCGGGCGGTTTATCGGTCTAATTCAATCTATATTGTGTGCACTAATTGTTTGCTGACCGCCTAGCGTACAAATTCAGAATAGGAAATTACACATTGAGTCCAGATATACATGTCTGTAAACGCCTACATAAGACTAATGTAGTGTGTCATGTGTTGTAGAGTGAAAAAAGTTGTGACACAACACTGTTATTTTTTTATTAAACATAGACAAACATGCATTAGTTTAAAAAAACAAAAGCAAAGGTGAACCATAGACAGCCGCTTAAACAATCTTGTTATAGGGTGGGAGAATAAGCTAAGCTAAGCCAAACCTGGGATCTNTATATATATATTCTTAACCGGTTAACAAATTATCCGTTAAGAAAATTGAATAATCCGCCCCCAAACCGATAAGCCGTTAATAAAAAAAATTCAATCTGTTCCCCGTCCGTTAAACCGTTAACCCGATACCAATAAGCCATTAAGTTTCGATTTCGGTTCGATTTTCGGTTTCGGTTCGGTTTTGAACACCCCTACCTTAGCCCATCCCAACCCTTCCCCATTTTCTACCCGTGAAATAAAATTACTCACCCTTACTCCATTTTTTATTCTAAAAAAATATTTTATTTTATATTCTTTTCTCTCTCTAGTATTATATTATTATCTTTTATTTAAATTTTATTTTCTTATTTTTATTAAAGAAATTCTATCTTTTTTCTTTTTTACATATTCATCACATATAATTTATATTACTTTCTTATATAATCATTTAATATAATATTATTTTATATCATAAATTTTTAAATAATATAATTTGTAAGCAAATATTATAGATTATATATATTAACGGATAATTCAAATAAAAATAAAATTATTGAGATAAAAGATAATTAAATACATATTACATTATGGTAAAATTCAGATTAAATACTATATAAATATTCAACTTTTACCTCTAGCATGCTCCCATAAATAATCTATTAACGCATTACGAAGTACAAAATGAGTATCTTTATCCTTAATTCTTCTGTGTCGAGCTAAAAATTATTCAAATCGATGATTTTCATCTACTACCATTTCTACCGTTGGAGGTGAACATTCTCAATCATCTTGAATTGGCGCATTAAGATCACGCTCATCCTCGATTATCATGTTGTGCAGTATAATACATATAGTTATTATATTATGTAGCACTTCTTTTCTCCAAAAATGTGATGGTCCTACAACAATTGCAAAACGAGCTTGCAAAATTTCGAATGCACATTCAACATCTTTTTGACATGATTCTTGTTTCATCGCGAAATATTTCTTTTATGGCGAACGTGGGTCACGAATAGTTTGCACAAATGTTGACCATTTTGGATATATATCGTCAGCTAATTAATAACCCATATCACATTATTTTCCTTGAATAACATAATGGGGGGAGAAGCAATACATACAGCAAGATTAGAAAACAAATGTGGTGACTCCAAAACATTAATGTCATTATTGGTGCTGGGTATACCAAAATATGCATTCCATATCCAAAGGTCATAATCAGTTATAGCTTCAAGAATTATGGATGGGGATCCACTACGACCTGTATATTGTCCAGCCCATGTTGTTGGACAATTTTTCCATCTCCAATTCATGCAGTCTAGACTGCATAACATTCCTAGAAAACCACATTGTTCACCGATGTGCAGAAGCCTTGCAACATCGTTAGTTGTTGGTGATCTCAATACTGCTCGCCAAAACACTCTACGATAGCTCGGCAAAATCTCTTCCTGCTTTCAATTGCAATCGACTCTCCAATTTTCACATATCCGTCATTGGCATCCGCTGGCACACCATATACCAACATTCTAAACACGACTATGATTTTTTGTAGAGTAGATAATCTAAATCTATCCACCGCATCAATGCGTTATTCGTTATCATGACCTTTAATTGCATCAACAATTTGAAGGAATAAATTCCGGGACATCCGATATCTATGACGAAATTATCCCTTATTAAAGCGGGGATTATCTGAAAAAGAATCAAGAAATAAATTATTATCAACACCTTCACGATCTCGATTGATTACCTAATGATCTGGAACGGAGCCAACTCTGCTAGGATCATTATTATGATTTTCTTGTAAACACTACAACATATAATTTTTCATCTGAATTGCTTCCATGCACAATTGCATATTAGCTTTGTTATCAAAAATTAAAGGTGATGATGAGGATGAGGATATGTAATGACCTGGCCGGTCGTTTCAAGAATTACAATCCTGTCTTCCCATTTACTGCTCAAGTAATAATTTTCAGTTGTTTTATGATTTATCGGGTTAATTGGTTCGGGTCCGGTGAGGTTTGGAATGATTTAGAACATTTAGTTCGAAGGTTTAAAACTTGTGTTGAAAAGTTTTTGTGGTGCTGAGGTAGATTATTTAGTACAAAGGTTGTAGAAATTTCTTACCGAAAATGCACCGATGTGTAAAGGAATTTTTTTGCCGAAAAAGGGTCATTTATGCGGCCCACTATGCGGTCGCAGAATCACTCTGCAGACCACATAATGGCTGCAGAGTGAATCAGGAGTGGGGCATGTGTGGAGGAACGTTTGCGGCGCATTATGCGATTGCAGATCAGTTATGCGGTGCATTATGCGACAGCAGAACAGGTCTGCGGACTGCATAACGACCGCATACTGAGGCAGTCTTGCCCAGTTCCTGAGGCCACATTTTGCGGCCATTTCGCGAGCCGCAAAAGCGTTATGTGGTTGCATATGCGACCGCAGAGTGTGTATCGGGGCTTAATTTTTCTGGTTTTATAAATCCGACCCCATTCTTATAAAAAAACTATTGGGGGTCATTTTGAAGGGTTTCATCTGATATTTTAGAGAGAGATGAGAGCATTTTAGAGAGAGAAAGTGAAGACTTAGTCATTTATCCATCAATTCTTGTCCAAGGTTTGAAAATTTCACAAGGATCTTGCTAGGGCTTCAAAGAGGTAAGAATTTATTTCTCCAATTCTTCAATTTCGGGTTTGAAGTAAAAGATGGATGATTAAGAGTATGCTTCTTGGGTGTGAGAGTATTAGTTATACATACACATACCAATAAGGTTTGTGGAAAGATTGTTGAGTTCAAATGGGTAAATATTGAGTTGAAAATGGTAGAAATCTTCAAAGACTTTAATTTAAGATTTGAGGGTCGAGTTGATGTCAGAATTTGGTAAAATTTATATGGTTGGACCCTTGGTTGGATGGGGTTTCATATTTTGTAACTTTTGTTTGGTTTCGAGATGTAAATTTTGAGTTAAATTTCGGATTTTGTTGGAAATATTAGTATGTTCATATGGAATAAATTCCTATGATTTGTATTGACTGAATTGAATTAATTGTGGCTAGATACGAGGCTTTCGGAGACCAATTCACGAGGCAAGGGCATAGCGAAGTAAGAAATTACACGGTTTGAGGTAAGTAACACTTCTAAACTTGGTTATGAGGGTATGAATCCCTAAAGTACATGTTGTATGAATTGTTTGGAGATGACGCACACGCTAGGTGACGGGCGTGTAAGCGTGCATCATAGGAATTGTGACTTAATTGATTCCGTGTAGTTGCATAATTAAATAAATGTCATTATCTGCATATTCTCCACGCGTTAGAGAAATTGAGCTGAAACTCAAGTTAAAGATCATGATTTGGCTATGCGCCTATATATTTTGGGACCCACATGGGTTATATTGTTGTTGAACTATTTGTTTAAATTTACAATTTTATACTCAATCACATCTATCACTTGGATATCATATCTCAATCTCTGTTGTCATTCATTGATACTTCATATCATCATGTCGGGTTGATTTTTCATGTTATTGAG